TTTATAATTAAAAAATTAAAATTAGTCATAAATTTAAAAGTTGCAATAACTTTTTTTTTGGTCCAATACTTTTGACCAGGGAGTGTACATTATATTATATTAACGATCCTTCCCTTTTGTTAACTACCAAATCGTTCTACACAAAATGAAACTTCAGTTTCATTCATTATTACTTAAAAGAGAACATAAAAATAAAAAAAAACTTCAAAAACAAGTTTATTTCTTTACGTTTTTATATATATGCATTGTGACAGCTGTTTCTAGGTTTCTGTTAACGCGTATTTTATTAACAATCCTGAAGCTTGTTTTTCATAAGAACTTGCCGTTAGTAATGAAACAGTTTTATTATCTTCACAGAATTTTGCAAATTCTGCATCTTTCTTTCTTTGTTATAAAGCTGATTCAAATGCTTTTAAAAATTTATAAGGGATATCGAGTATCAATATAACCTATCATAATGCTGTTCATTGATTCGCCCCTTTAAGTCCTTGAAATCATTCCTTAACATCTTTGCGATATTTTCGCTTCGCCGTTTTAACCTTTTAGATTTCATATTTGTAATTTCGTTTATTTTTAATTTCCGATTCTTATTAGTATTTTATTATTCAATTTTTATGTAATTATTCGTAATTGCGCAGTTTAATTAATTGCTTAGCATTTACTTAGCTTAATATTTTGACATTGCGAAAGTGTAGGGCGCCGACGTTGAGGCAACACCGATCAAATTGATAATATTGAATAAATATTTGTCACATTTTCTTCATAATTACTTCATAGTTATTCAATTAATACCTTTGGTTTACATTACAAATTGTTTATAAATACATAAACGAACGAAAGAACTGAATACAACAATAGTCGTGTATTACTTGCCGCAGTGTGAGGTCATCAGAGGCGTCTTTTAAGATATGATCTGCACAAATCGCTAACTTAATTTTGTTAACTTGGTTTCGGTTCAAATCCAGGTTAACACCGGTTAAATATTTTGTTAATCTGAAGTTAAAACATTTTTTTTAATAATTAATCGAAATTGTTAACTCTAAAATGCAATTATAGGCTCAAAAATATTTAGAATATTTACGGAAAAAAGTGTATTAAAATGTAAATTACACAATATAACCTTTATACCCCAATTGTATTTGCAATGACTGTGAATATATTTGATGCCAAAAGTGTATAAATACAATAAACTAACTTTATAATATATAACAGTTGAATTTAACCGATTAACAATTAACTGGGTAATCAAATTTTAAAAATTATTAATCAGTTAATAATTAGCCGGTTCCATTCATATAAAATTGAAGTTTCTTTGAATGGACTAATAAATATTGTTTATCTTTTAATTATAAAGTCGTGAATGTACATTTGTTTTAGTTAATTATTCTTCTCACGCTTTTATGATAAGTTTTGGCACCAAGAGATCTAAATCAAGGATAAAGATAACTCTGACAACGTTGATACCGAAATGATGATCGTCCAAAGCGCCATACTTCAACGTTATATCTTGCATTTTTACGAAAAAAGTTTTAAACCCAAATCTAGAAAGGCGCTTGTTATTATGTTCTTTCTCGGCTTTGGTTTCGACAATTAACGGGAAAAATGTTTTATTTCCAGGTAACTGTAAACGGAACAATGAATTCTTCAAAAGAAGAAAAAAAGTTACAGCACCCAGTATTCCCACGTTGTCCCCAACCGTAGTACTGACTGGGCCATCAGTGGCTTAACTTCGGAGATCGGACGGGTTCCGGTGCTTTTCACTGTGTATGGCCGTAACTGATTGAATGCATAAAAAATTATTATTCATAGATAGTTGAATAAAGATATAAAAGTAAAGGAATGGATTTTCGAGTGATCGTCACATAGTTAAAAAAATAATTTTAAAATCATCGACATTTTTGAAGTATATATATTTTTAATGAATCATTATTTCTCCCTATATGAATTCAAGTGTTTGCGAAAAGGTTTCTTTCGGAAGGTTTCATTTTATTTTTTTTTTATCAATTTTAGTTGTATTTAAGACAGTTTTTTTCGATATTTGAAATCCTTTTTTTATGATAATTGAAATATCTAAACTCGAAATAATATCATTTAAAACCTATAAACTATGTCGCATAAATGTAATTCATATTTTTATTTTTTCTGTAGTTTATCTACTTTTCACATTTCATAATGAATATTATTGATAATTGGTAAAGAAATTATTATAAATAGATCTATAATAAGTACTGTATTCTTGTAAAATAAGTCTTGGGATTAAACTAAAGTTAAGAAAAGGGTTCTAATTCTAAAATCATACATTCCTTTAGCTTAGCACAAGTGACTTCATACAGGTTTGATTGTGATATCAACTACAATAATGAATTGTCATTAAACCACTCTCTTATGACGTATTCTAGGATAAAGATTTGTTCAGTTTGTTAGTTTGGTGATTGAGACGAACATCGGTCTAAAATCCTTTCTTTTCATCATGAAAATGTAGCCGCTATGTAAAGGAGAGGAATATTCTTTGGAAAATGATTTTGCAAAATACAGTAATCTTGAGATCTCAGAACAATTAAGCTTTCACTACGTATTTTGTTTTTCAAGATTAATTAATAAAATTTTTTTTTTTTTAAAAAAATAAATTAAGATATTTAGTTGCTGATATAAATTTATAAGTTTTATTGAAGTAGTCATTTATCT